GCCGTATTTGAAAGACTTGCTACTCGCCTCACTGTCGAGCTAAGGACTTCGTTCAGAGGGTGCCACAAGTCTTTTTCGAAGAATAAAGCCTTAGATGCTTCATCAAACTCGAAAACTGACTGCCGGCGGCGGCGACGTCGTTGGCAACAACACGAAGGGGCGCGAAAACACATCATCACATGTGGACGTCATCATGACGTAGCTGGTCGCCAAGATACGTGAGTTCATTATAACGTGATCGTGAAGTCACTGTGAGCTCACATCACATGACGTCGCACGCTGACGTGGTCGGACGACTTAGTCGCTTGTCTAACGTGGGCTTGTCTCGGAGAAAGGAAGGAAAAGGATAGAGAAGATTGGCAGGGATGTTAACCAGTTTGGCATAACCGGTATGCTACCCCGCACAGGGGAGAAGGAAGGTATAGGAGATATTGAAAGAAAAAAAAAGATAGGAAGAGAAGGCAAGCACAGATGCACACACATAACGTCACCATGGAGCGCGTTGGTCTTGTGCGGTATAGAGCATTATTAAGGGTCTACAGCCACTCGTGCAAGCCTGTTGTCCTTAGGAATTTTAGCAACGCCTACGTCGCTTGAATTCTTGATGAGTTCTCAGCATGGCATTGGCGAATAGCCTCTAGCGTCATCGGAGGCACAGCTGCAAAACTGCATGAGGTGCACCTTTAAAGTGTGATGCCTCCGATCCAGGGAGCAGTAAAGAAAACTTTCGGAAGAGGGAGGATTGATGAATACAATCGTCTGCAAATAAAAACAAAATGAAAAGATGGCTTTACCGTGACTACGATTCGCCACCCCCCCCCTTTTTTTTTTTACTTGTTGCACGAAAGTAACGGCGCAAAGGTCTCAGACAGAGAATTTTAGACCCACAACCTCAAAGACTATAAGAAAGAAGAGGAAGAAAGAAGAAAAGAATGAATGATGTCTCTGACGCATGTTCACGCGTGCCCTCAGCAACCGGTTATTCTCCGAATCGAGCTATATTTATTTACCTATTTTCATGGAGCCTCCTTCTCCCTTCCAACTTGCATCCTGGTGGTGTGGTTTTCGCTTCACCGTCTTCGGTAATTAGGGAAAAGAGGATCCGAGAGAGGCGCATGGAAAAGGAGGGGCCTTGGGAGAAGAGGAATTCAGAGTCCGGCCAAGCACTTTTCCCGTGCCTCCTTTTGCTTTATTTCCCTTTCCCAAATCCTAACCACGAGATGCGAGACGCGTGATACTGCATTGCGCACGCACGTGTGCTTCCCGAACAAGCTCTAACGCGTGTTCTTTCTTCCGCATCTGACGCTTTGAAGTCTACCCTCTCCCTTTCGGTTACGCACGTACGCAAACGCGTGCTGTCTCTTTCTTTCTCTCCCACCTCTTTTCCGCGCTATCTCTTTCTTCCTTTCTCGCCCTCTCTTATTAAAAATGGTTCGTGTGAAGAAACAAGAGTACGGGATATTAGGGAAACCGTGACGATTTTTCTCGCGGGGTCGGGCATGCCGCCTCGCGTGACGTGCCAGTCAATGACACAGCGATGCTAGTAAATTGAAACGAATAGTTCGATACTGCGTCACGAGAACAGCGTTCCCCTAGCCAATGCATCGGATTAGACTCGTTTGTTTATGTTTACTTTGTGCGTGCGTGCTTGCACTTTTCAGGACCTAATGAAGAAAAGATTCAGTGCGGAAGCGTTGCGCACCAGAACAACGATTTTGATAATTTTCGCACGCCATATTGTAGTGGTCACGCTATACATTTTTAGAAATACATGAGATTCTTTACGTGTGCATATTACGTGGTACATGAGCGTTCGTTTTTTTTTTTTGTCCTCACTGAAACGTCGTCATTACGGCCGGAATTGAAGCCGCGTCCTCGTGTTCTCTCTCTCACACACACATTTAAACAGATAGCTAGCTATTATAAATACAAAGTCAACCCACGAATTCGTGGATTTATTTGTTGATTGATTGATCGATCGCTCGATCGGGTGAGTGGATGGACGCACGGACGGATTCATTCATTTATTTATTGAGGGAGTGAGTGAGTGGAAAGATGGAAAGAAACACGCTATGTTTTCTTGACTATTTCCAGGACGCACGTACAATTCAGGCTAACCAAAGCAAACCCATTGTTGGACACTGCTGGCTTCGCCTGAGACGAATAACGGCGACAAAATGCACACCCGGCTCGTCGTATTTGCACCTAAAACGGCTTCTTGAGTTGTCATGCTGCTTGGCTAAAAGTACCCGTCTCAAAGGAATAACACGCAAGAGAGAGAGACACACAAAACATTATTTTTCCCCTCTGTTTAGAAGAGTGTTCACGGCCGCTACACTCGTATGTCGATATTTCGCTCGAGACAATCCACGAGAGGATTTCAGCCCGTCATCAAAATCACGCGCCTAGGCCCTTCGCGCCGCGCAAAAGAAGCTACGCGTCTCCCGGCCGAATTGTTCCCGAGACGGCTTTATTCTCGGCTTTGCGAGCTTTTCATTGGCGCTTTTAAGCCAATCCGAAGAAGAAGAAACGCGAAAAGGCTGCGTCTGGCTTCGACCGCTGTAAAGCAATAATGGTCGTCCAAGAGGGTCACTCAATGTAGAACGTGAACCGAGCGCCATATAGCTAAACCTTCCTAGGAGAGATGGCGAAAATAGCAAGCAGAAATCGATAGTCACGCTAGTATAACAGTCGCGGCTTCAGTTGTTCCGATATCTGCCTCGCTGATATTTCTGTTTTAGTTCTTTGGTTTTGGTTAGTTCCGCATACAGTGTGGGTGTTGAAGATAACGGCTTGGCACCGAGCGTGCGTAAATGTGTGCGTGTACGTTTGTGAGCATGCGTGTGAAGACGCATTATAGCCACGGAAACGTGCCTTGCTTCTCTTGGTCGCCTGAGTGCTCTATGGCAAATGGGTGTTCGGCTACTGTGCACGGTAGTTTATATTTGATCGACACTGTCTGAAAATTCCGCTACGCTTAGCGTGGTTTGCTTGCGCCGAATCGTTATGTTTATACTCACTAATGACTGCTTTGGATTGACCGAACATCACACGGGTTTGAATGGTCGTCATTCGATGAATAAGAGTTTATTGGCCATTGTGCTGGTAGTTTCTATTGGAGTTCCTTGAAGATGATTGCATGCATTTTCTGAGGGCACTTATTTTTAAGTCTGTAAAAAAAAGCAGTATCGCACTAGGGGGATCAATCCTAAAGAGCTGAGCCTGGTTGGGTGGCATCGTCGTTTCTCTTTATTTTGCTTGTTTTATGCTTTTTCTTCTTCTTTCACTGGTTGCTCTCTATTTTTTATCGCAATTTATTTATTTATCTTGCTTGCTCTTTATATCAATAATAACTGCTATAGGCATCCCTTAGCGAATGGCGACGACTGTGAGCGTATCTATCTATCTATCTATCTATCTATCTATCTATCTATCTATCTATCTATCTATCTATCTATCTATCTATCTATCTATCTATCTATCTATCTATCTATCTGTCTGTCTGTCTGTCTGTCTGTCTGTCTGTCTGTCTGTCTGTCTGTCTGTCTATCTATCTATCTATCTATCTATCTATCTATCTATCTATCTATCTATCTATCTATCTATCTATCTATCTATCTATCTGTCTGTCTGTCTATCTATCTATCTATCTATCTGTCTGTCTGTCTGTCTGTCTGTCTGTCTGTCTGTCTGTCTGTCTATCTGTCTATCTATCTATCTATCTATCTATCTATCTATCTATCTATCTATCTATCTATCTATCTATCTATCTATCTATCTATCTATCTATCTATCTATCTATCTATCTATCTATCCGCCTACGACTTTCAACTCTCCTGGCCGTTTCGATAATGGCATCAATACGAATATTTGTGTGGCATCACATGACTGTATTATGAGCAGATGTGACGAATCCTAACATCAAAATTATGACATGTATGTCATGAATGTTATGATTTACATTTCATAGTCACGCGGCTCTTGTGGTGGTTTCTTCACATGACATGGTGCATTGCTGGTATGGTATGACATCATTGCTTGGAGAACACAAGCAACAGGCCCTAACTTGAAATTCATGACATGCGTGTCAAGTAACGACATGACTACATGCCACGCTCATGATGCGCTCGTGGCCGTTTCGCTAGCTTCACATGTACGAAATTTGGTATTACATGACGAGAACGGACGTTAAAATTAAATGACATGTCCAAACGCGATAATCATGGCATGCACGTGATGTAACAACTAGACTACATGCCACACTTATTGTGCGCTCGCGGTCATTTGGCTAGTTCCACATATATACAATTTGGTATCACGTTACGCGAATAGACGACGAAGGCAAGTGACACCTCCAAACATAACAACCATGACATTGTTGTCATGTACGGCATAATTTACGTCAGCCTCGTAACGTTGTGCTGATTTTAAAGTGACATATCAACTTTCGTCATTCATGCTTCGCATATCATAATTATGCGGGATCTGCCAATTTTTTTTCTATTCGTCCTCTTCTTTTTAACTTTTTGGTTCTTTCGCTTTCTTTGTTTCTCTCTATTTCTCTCTGGTTTCTCTTTCGGTCTTGTGCTCGTTTTTTTATCTTTTTTGTGTTTATTTTTTCTCTCTTTTATGTCTGTCTCGGTCTTTCTATTTCTTGGTGTCTTTATTCCCTTTATTTATTTCCATTCTGTTCGTTCTCTTTATTCGCATCATCTCCTTTCTGTCTCTCTTTCTATTTTCTTCCTTCTCTACCTCTCTCTTTTGCGTGTTTTCCGTGCTGGAGTTCACCAATCAATTCTTTTTTCTGTTTAACGCTCGCACCCGCTGTTCTCTGTCGTGGGGCTTATACAGTGCCTGTGCTGCATACCCACCTGTGGTTTTCTGCGAATACCTCATTTCTTACGGTCAGCCTAAAGAGCTCTGCTGTTGAAAAAAAAATTACATCACCGAGATATCTACCTTTCTTTCTAAATCACGCGTGCACGTGCCGTTTGTTGCAGGAGCGGCAACTGCTTGAAGCCCTGGAGCAGAAGATCGAGGTCGAGGCCCAGAACGCAACCCTCGAGGAGGAAGTCACCAGGCTACGGACGGTCAGTACATGTATATGCACACGAAACAAGCGCTCTTTGCACGAGCCCATAAAATCGTTTTTTTTTCCTCTAAGTTTTTAGAGCCCAAGCAGGTAAATCATCTCCGCGTGCAGCCATCGCCGTCACTCCGTGGCGTAGCCGAAGTTCCTCCCATCTCCCCCCCCCCCCTAAAAAAATTGCAGCATGTCCACTAGGTGAACGATGACGAGTGGGGCGAAGCCCTCCACAGGGAGTTTAATCGTCCTAGTCGATCATCAAAATAAAGACGTGAGAAACACTGTGTGGTATACAAATCAACTTTTATTGTTGGAGAAGACGGACGGCTTGTGGCGTCCCTTGAATACGACGGGCAGAGGGACGGGCGCACGGACAGACGCACGGACAGACGCACGGACGGACGCATAGACGCATGTAAGCGCGGACGGACTGACGGACGCTTCGCCCCACTCATCATCATTCACTCCGTGGATATGCTGTGAAACAGTTTTTATCGACATGCAATGCAACTTTATGACCTTGAAAACTAGCTACTATATGACGACACGGGACGTACGACCCACGATGTAGAAACTTTTGCTTGCGTATCGAAGCACAATACAAATGGTGGTGGTGGTAGTGGTTAGAAGAGGAAGGCGCCTAATTTCTGCAGCCCGGTTAGGAGCATGACGCAGCGCCTGCGGGGATGGCGAATGGGAGAAAAGTGGATAGAAGAGAATAAGGTTAGGTGAGCAGTGGCGCAGACGTCTTCAGCACGAACAGCAGTCCGGCAGCCCGCAATGGGGTGGCAAAGGTCCCGTTCTCAGCGGTATGCCACGATTCCCATCTCGTCCAGGAACTCCACCAGTCTCCGGAGCGCTGGTAGATGGGGGCGAGATGGAAAGAGGGGGTGCTCCAGTGTGGTGGCGGGAAGGCCATCTCTTCGGTAGGCCGCGGTACACAAACGCACGCGCGAACACACATAAAGTATGGTTGAAGACGCCCCATCTTTCCCTGTTGAAAAATATCTCTAGCTGCACCCCTGTGGTCGCTCTCAAGGTGCCTAGTTGGTAAGTGTACCGTCCTATAGCGCATACTTATTTTCGTGACCTTGGAAGTTAGCGCTTGCGTGCGTTGCAGTTTATTCGTCTACGTGTGTTCAGAAAAATGGTTCCCATGTGCGCTTGATGAATGCCTAAGGTGTTTAGAAAATGTTATAGTACTGCCACGTTCTTTTTCTCAAGTTTTGTTATCGCCCCAATACACTACGCGATTCTCAGCGCAAACCGCGCCTGCAGTCTTCGAGAAGCTTCAAGACTGTAGTAGGTCATTTCGATAAAATCACGCCCACTTCACGAACTGTACAGGTTATTCTTGAACCTACGTCACCGCTAGCGATAACGCTAGAACATTGGATGGCACATGTATAAATGCCGACGCGCTTCGCCGCTATTAGTGCAAGTGTGCTACCGTAACCCGACTTTCCGTTCAGCGGGCTCAGGTTCGCCCAAATAAACAGTTTGATCTGACCATTTCATCTCCTGCCTTAAATCACGTCACGACCCCGTGACAATACCATAGACAGTTCACGTCAATAACAGCTTGATTTAGAAAAACATATTATACAATAGACAGTTAACGTCAATAAAAATTCAACATAACATAATGGCATATGCTTTCTAGACGTATGTTTACCAGGATAGCACAACAGAATTCATTTACACGGACATAACATATGAAGAGACGTGGAGGCAAGACGCACAGTCGACGCTTCACAAATATATGTATACATTCACACGTATAGAGATTTGTCGCGAAACGATGAGCATACATATGCACATGACATGGTAAACAGAAAGCAGGAATATACACCTCCACTTGTTTCCCACAGCCTCCGGGATCGGCTCACATTTGACAAAGAAATGATATGGTACGTCACAGTGACGCCATGATGACGTCGTGGTGACGTGGCAGATTTTGGCAATCCGTGTGGTTATTACGAAGTGATCTTTTGCGTCCATCGCGTTGGCACCAGTGACGTAGGACGCCGACACAGCACGCCAGCCAAGATCTGCGTTTGATGGCGCGTCTAAGGCTATCGCCTTAATATCGATCCGCCATCCCTAAGCGAAGTCAAGTGCGCTTGGTTACTTCAGTAATAGCTCTGCGTTAAACAAGTTGATCTTTGCACCACGAGAGGTCGCAATCATTCCGTTAGCTCGCGTTTAACCGCATTCGGTACTCCGTAGACTACAGGGTGTTTCCGAACAATCGGAAAACCATCTGTAAGCCGTCGTCGTTTGCCCTCTTCGCTTTCTCCTAAACAAGCGAGTGCCTAAGTTTGCTGCATTCTGGTGCGAAGGTCACCTCCTGCAGTCTACTAGTCCAGCGTTCTTAGCTGTCCTTCTCGCATGGTAGTCCAAGTCGAGCTAGTCCATCCATTAGAAGACAGGCAACATGAGCTAGAGTGAACTGGTCTGTCATCAAGGGAAAAAAATGATTGAACAATTAGCCCGTGTAATGTGGAGGAAGTGTTTCATATCCGAAAAGCTTTTAGCACCTTTGTTACCTTTATATGTGACCGCAGAAGGTGCACGTTTGTATGAAACAAAAGTGAAACGCTCTTTCTGAAGAAACTTTAGGGTAATCGCTAATCAGGAAGTTATTCGTAAACACAGAATACCGTAGCTCATTGAACTAAAATAGTGGCATAAAGTGTTAGCGTACAAATAAGTTTAAACATTTATCTCACATCTCGGCGTTCAGTCTTACATTTCTCATCTCTCTACGTAAATTCTTATGTTTTTATGTCCTTGTCATATCTCTACGTCTAGCTTCATATTTTGACTGCCGTGTAGTATCTTGACGTCCGTCTTATTTTGACGTCATAGAGGCTGGTTTCACTGTACCCGTGCGAGTTTATCAAGAAATTTTAATATTCCTAATGGCGTTCGCGAGGCAACCGCAACGGCGCAAAAGGGAGAGATCGTTATACACATGCTTTTTTTTTTTGTATAGTTAAAGCTTTTCTCGACTCTCACTTCGTCCACGCTATTTCGCTTTTTTCTGGAATGAAATTTCTTTGCAGTGCCGTTCTGTATTCACTTCTGTTTTTTTTCATTTCGGAGCAGCTTTTACAGACTGTCTGGTTGGCTTACTCATCTGAATATCCTGCCAGTTTCACAGAATCTATGGATATGCCAGCCGTTCGTATTCGCCCAAAAGCGCGCGTGGGTGCGCATTTACACTGGCTCTACCTTGTTGAGTCGTGCTTTTTTTTTTATTTTGGTAACGCTTTCACTTCGGCCCTTCGGGTACGTCTGTGTAATAACTTACCCAGCAGATCCACCACGCACTCAGTGAAGACAAAACATGAGGGATAGAATTAGTCTGTCTCGGCTGCCGTTGAGCGTTCACTTTCTTGCATATACTGCAGCGGTGGGCATTGGCTTGCACTGAAACATCCGGCCTACCTGTGTATCGTTCTCGTGGTATAGGCCGGGATGAGTTTAGTACAAAAGCTACAGCGTATAACCGAAAACACGTTTTTTTTTTTGAACATATATTTTGATGTCGTACGTGCCTATACAGCTACGCCTGGCAGTTAACCCCGAAGAGTTATTTTCTTTGCATCTTCCCAACATCATTGTTCTTTTTATTTGTTCTCTTTCACTCCTTGGATAAGTGTCTTTCTTGCGTTTCCGTTCTTTTTTTTTCTTGATGTTTTTCGCTTGCCTCATCTACTCCGCAATTTCTCTGATTCAGCGGCGAAGGTTTAATATTGCACTTCGGAGGCGAATTCCGCATTGCACCACCATCGTCTTCTGAGTATTTCTTTTTCCTGTCTCGTCGCCTTCTATTTCCGCAGTGCTATGGAGTTTTTCTAAAACCATTCAAGGAATTGCGCTCCCTGCGTTTGTTCGAAGTTTGCGCTTCGAATTGACTTCAAGGCACACAGTTCGAGGAGCTCGTTCATTGAATTGCTCCGCCGGCCCTTCGTTCTGAGCCGTTTATCGTTTTATTTTTTTTTACTATTCCGCGTCTCTGTTAACTACACAATAACTCTGCGACAACCCTCTCAGCGACGAAGTCGCTGTCAGTACTCGCTCCTCTGACTTTTGTTCCCTCTTATGATACGAAAGCCTTAGCTGTCTCATGAAACGCGAAAAGTTACTGTTGTCGACTGCAACACGAGTAATACAAAAAAAAATATGCGACAACGTCAAAAGTTGCCAGAATTGGTGGCGTCATCGTGAAGTCACAAAATGGCACGTCTTACGATGACGCCATCACATGAGATACTGACTTGATCAGAGCCGTAGAGTTTCCTGAAGTTAGCTCTTGGGAACTATGGGGCTGCGATCATTCAGCCATGATGGCATAATGGGTAAAGTACTCGGATTTGCCTTGTCTTCGTGCTTGCGGGTTTCAAGCGCACCTGCGGCTTTGTTTGTTGCTGTGTTTTTGGTTTGGTTTCGAGTGAAAGAACGAACTGTTGGGAACTCTCTGAGTCTATTGGAAACGGGTGATTCTAAAAAGGTCAAGGTGGGGAAGCGTAGCTGCCAAGCCTTTGCTAAACTTCGTCTTGCTGTGAAGCGGATTCAGGCCACGTAGAAACGAACGCAGTTGAAAGAACCAAGATTAGACAAATCCGTGCACAATACCCATCATTCCCGTGCTGCTTGAAGCGGCGTACGTTGCAGCTCTCACAGACACTAGGACCAGAGTTCGCCCTAAAGTATTCATAGCAAATTCTACGGTCGAAGGTAGGCAGATCCTGAATGCACTGTAAAATCACGTGAAGTGCAGAACGCTTCCAACGTTTTCAATCTCGAAGGCGATGTAAAACTACGTTGAGAGTGCATAGAGCTTTCGGGAAAATGGGTGGGTAGAAGGGTGTTAAATTCGGTCGACTGACACGAACGCGGTTTTCGTCTTCAAGTCTTTTTATGGAACTGTGTTTTCTCTTTCGCCTTGCTGCAGTGGTGAACATTGAAAATGTGCGCTTAAAAAAAAAAAGTCAATTACAGGTGTCGTTATAACCGACGTGCAAACGGCGTGAGCTGCATCCCACGTTGGAGCCCCGCCGCGGTGGTTTAGTGGCTAAGGTACTCGGCTGCTGACCCGCAGGTCGCGGGTTCGATTTCCGGCTGCGGCGGCTGCATTTCCGATGGAGGCGGAAATGTTGTAGGCCCGTGTACTCAGATTTGGGTGCTCGTTAAAGAACCCCAGGTGGTCAAAATTTCCGGAGCCCTCCACTACGGCGTCTCTCATAATCAAATGGCGGTTTTGGGATGTTAAACCCCACAAATTAATCAATCAATCAATCAATCAATCAATCAATGCATCCCTCGTTGGAACCACGCTTTCGAGCAGAGCTTCTGGTGTCGCCGTTTCATTGAGGAAAAACGTTCGCCGCGATTTGGAAATTATCAATCTCTTATTGATGCTCTCCTTACAACAGCATGCTTCAGTGACAGTGGCTAGTGCAGCGAAAACCATGCACTGAATCGCAATACGTGAATAAAGTAAGAATTTTCAAACATCTATAGCAGCGAATCGTCGCTTCTACTTATTCATATCTTCTATTCTTCTTTCTATCATCTTTACTTCATCTTGCCCATCCCTAAAGGTGCTGAGACGTACCCCCAAGACGTGGAGGCAGAAAATGACGTCCTTGTTTCCTCAACTATCTCTCGCCACTGCCTGGCCTGTCTCACTGGGTCGCTATGACCGTAACATGCGAACTTTGAATAACAGGCGGAGGTCGAGCGTGCTACGTGTGCGGAGTTGCAGCCGGCTCATAGATTCGTACGGGCTATTCTCTGACTGCTCGCTTCGCGTTGAAGCGACAGACAAGCCGTTGTTTTGCAGAGTTACTCCAGATGAGATCCTGAACGCAAAAGTTGCCTGCTAACCTTACTTCGAATAGCATGTCAATTTATTACCCTTGCATTCTTTGCTTCGCCTCTGCTGAGCAAATGTGACTCTTGCTTCTCTTGCAAGAATGTTTCAGCTATTTTCTTATTGTGCTTTGAATACTTTTTTGTATTTTTGGTATATTTAACTGTCTTCGTGTGGCTTATTATTGAAGGAGGGCCATTCAAATCATCATTTTTTTATTTCCACTTTTTTACTTGATCCACTACTTTTTTCTTGCGCATGACTCTGTGCTGTCTTTCTCTCAGCATGCCTTCCTAGGACGCCAAGGTGAGCTTTTTCACGACATTACTAGCCGGTCAGTCTTCCTTGCATTCTTACCGTTTTTCTTTCTCTGCTTTTTGTGCGTTAGATAGTAAGAATGCTTTTTATGCAGAGACTGTTTAGCGCCTGCCCTGGCAACCAAACCAGCGAACCCAACAACTACTTCGGTCAGGTGTCTTGAGCTTTCAGAATTGACGAAAGGAAACGATCACTATACCGGTTAACGGAAGCTAATGCACGGATGTTCATGGTAGCATTGCTCTGAGTGTTAGGTTGACATATTAACGAAAAAGACCTGCCGTAAAACTATGGGGGCGCCTAAGACAGGTACAACTTCAGAAATATGCGGTATGTCCTCCTCAAAGGTGCTCGCACACAAGCCTGAACCATTGGGCCCGCACTTTAGAGTGACGTCACGGGTCTGACTGGCTGGTGACACCATCTTCGGAGAACATCGCCTAGTGCATGAGCGGAGCTATTTCTTTAGTCGCGGAGAAGATCGGCTGCCGCGCTTTTGTCGCCAGGGTGGTGACGCCTCTACGGACTTCCCGAGTTGTGTCCAACTATGAACGTTTCTTGTCAGTTATGAAGCATTCGTTGTCGAAGAGTTTGGTAACACAAGCGTGGTGCACAGAACGTGAGAAACAGAGCTAGCGACTGAGAAAATTGGCTGCCGGGCAGTGCTCGACCACATTCACAGACATTCAACACTCGCTTGTAGAAACGATGTGTGGAATATAACGGGGGCGCAGTTGCTCGTGCGTGCCTGCAGACAACTGTTTTACCGCAGTTGCCTAGTTCTGCATCTTTGTGTTTTTGTCGCGATAAGTAGATAAAGACCGACTTACCATGGCTGGAATGCTGGTTTGCTCGAGAACACGGCAATTAATTATTTAGAAGAATGTTTTGTACAACCCAGTCGGAGTTTCGGTGTTAGAGAGCGCTGAGTGAGACGGCAGGGGCTGAGAGTGGTTTTCGTGCAAGCATATCTGGTTACGCGAGCGCAAAAAACCACGCGCACGTTAACACCGCATTGACAGCTTCTTTCACTGACGGCCCCCTACGAGACGTTGTTAATATGCGTGACCACCCGGCACCCAAAAATGCACTGCCTAGGCAAGGACATAACCCTTTGTACTCCCGTGCTAGCCTGCTCCACCTTTCCGTTGGAAAGGCCTGCCAGGAGAGAGCTCTGGAAAGTATTTGAGAATGCTTGCCGAATGTGCTCCATTCCATCCTTATTCTTGTCGCTATTTCAGTCTCATGGTTCAGCTCCGTGCTTATTACTACCTGTAGTAAGTTGCAATATTCCTTTACAACTTCCAGTGTCTCGCCACCTATCGGAAAGCGCCGTTCTCTGCCGAGACTGTTGCTCATCACTTTACTTTAAGGCTTAATCATTTTCGTACCTACTAATTTTCACTCATTTCAGCCAACACTAACCAGTGACGCAGGTGGTGGTTGGTCCTTTACGAGAAAACCCGAGGCGCGTTTCGCGTGTAGTGCCACCACACGCACTTTTGAACTTGGTTTTACATGTACTCTAGGCTGTTATTACCTCTTGATATTTTTTGAATGATGCGTGTGCGTCCACACAAACATATTCCGTCCACACAAACCTAAACCTATTCCACACAAACCTATTCCACACAAACCTATCCATCCTTCAAAATTTTGTCTCTACACTTTGAAGAATGTCTCGTCCAGTGTCCTCTGACAGTGGCGCCACCATGTCGCAGGCGGAGACGGAGCTTCGTGTGCGCTCGGCTGAGCTGGAGGCCGCCCGGGGCGAGGCGTCCGCCCTGGAGGCCCTGGTGGGCCACCTGCGACAGGCGGCCGACCAGCGCCGCCTGCTCGAGAGGCAGCACGCGCAGGCGCTGCAAGAGGTGCGCGCGGCCAAGGCGGCCGCCGCCGCCGCCAAGGGATCCGCCGAGGCCGCGCAGCAGCTCACCATACAGACGCTCGAGTCGAGGGTAAATAGCGATCTGCATTGAAAGAAGTGAATGCTGCATTGTCCGTGATGACGGTTGTGGTCGTCAGTTCTCTTCAGAAGGCACGCTACTTTACTCTTGACCTGCTAACTGAGAATTACTTATTAAGCGGCAATCCGAGGATGCCACCAGAGCTCAAGGACTCATGGCAAGGACTCATTTTTTCCTTGCCTAGGGCAAGGAGAAAATTTTTCCACGTCTAGCCGTTTTTTTAAATAAAGGTATTTCCTCCTCCTCCTCTTCCTCCTAAATACATCCTCTCGTGCATTCGCCACTCTTACGTAATGTGTTACGACATACTGAAAAGTAGAATAATAGGTAGTTGTGCATTTGTTAACATTTCGCTCTGGTAGACCGAAGAGAAAGCACGACAGACCCGAAACACCAGCGCAGACTGGTTTGGGGCTTGTCATCTAAATTCCTAGCAATGCGAAAATGTTAGCAATATGGTCAGCGTTGGTTAGAATTACGAAAGACTTGCTATTACGATCGGCTGGCTGGAAATAGTAAGCGCCGACCAGTTGTTGAAATAAAAAAAACCAATGACGTTTCGGCCCCGCTACTGAAGCCCCGCTACGAAGGCATTGTTCAGAAAAAAATGACAGAGGAAGAGAAAGCAGCTAGGTCGTCCTTTTCTGCGCTGCAAGTAGTCTGAGAGGCGAAGCTTCGCTGTAAAGTCCACAGAGATTGCTGAAATAAACAATACTAAGAACGGTGTTCCAGAAACTCGTCGTTCCACCATCTTTCCGCAGCTCTGTAAAACTTATGATGGGAGACTTAGACCGGCTACGAATCGTACAACTGCATACATCTACGGGTGGGGACTTTCGTTTTTGGCGTTTATTTTTTTAAGCATTCGTACGGGCTTTCGGTTTTGCCTGTCCCCGGTCCATGCGCAGGGAGCGAAATCATTTCTAGCTTTCCCTACGGAAACTCAGATAACGGTGAGGAGTGGCTGCGCGAATATGATAGTTGGACGAAAAACTGAGGACGTGCCTCGACTATATCCCCCGTTGCCGGAGATGATGGGATTTCGCGATGCAGCGCGAGAAAATAAAGAAAAAGAAAAAGAGAAAAAGAAAGTGGTGTGAAGCTTTTTGCGTGCCCTCGTGTAAAGAAATGCTGTCGTCGTATACGACGAGTGAGATAAAAAAAAATCGCACGTTGTTCTTGCGTTCCTCGCGCCGACTGCGTTGAGAGCCTTGATATCACAGCGAACTTTCGTGCGAGCAGAGAAAACATTAGGCAAGACCCGAGAAGACTTTCTTGGAGATTTACTTCACAGCATAACGGATATTTTATCGGATATGATAGTGTTAGTTAAAGTATTTTGTAAACGAAACGTTGCAAAGAGCTACAAGAAACGATGTGCTTTATTTTAAAGGGTTTTCTTTTTGTTTCGCACGGTTTTACATAACAAAAAGAGGTTTTTGGTTTAGGTCCGTTGCCATGCTGAGGATTTCTACTGACGAAACTAGGTTTTGGCAGTGTTGAAGATATCTGGTTCAGGTTAAACACGAATGGAAAGACCTTTAAAAAAGTTTTTAGCACTTTCTTTTTATTGAAGTATTTCAGAGCAGTTGTAATTTTTTTTCTGCCCTTGATTTACACACTCTGTCTGCAACGTTCTCAGGAAGAGTTGAAATCGTGAATCACTGGAATTCGGCATTAGTGACGCTGGCGAAAAGGGGGAAACGCACTGGCTTGCCGAGAGGGCGTGACTGGGGATTAGAGGAAAGAGAAGGGGTGGGTGTGACCAATGAATTGCGAAAAATAGGTGTTTGAGTGGCTTCCGGCACCAAATGAATAAGGTTAAGCATAGACAAATCTATGGGTAAACGTCATGCTTGAATCGCTCATTCCCGTTGTTGGTGCGATAAATCAGCAAATGGGGTTACTTCCAGTTGAACTCCGGGAAACTTTCGACTCGTAACCATATGCTTAAGTTTATACAAATAAAAGAAGAAGCTTACAGAAAACTTAGCAACAAAGGGCGCATTAGATTCTTCGTTCGACGGTTCTCACGGTGAGAAAGTGGCTGTGTACCTCATAAAAAACGCGTTACAAATGATATATTACCTCGTGCGAATGATGCTATCTGAATAGACAGGTATCGATTCCAGCCAAGTATACTGCTAACATTTGTGCGTGTCTACGGTTGCTAGAGTCGATCGATGGTGGGCATTTATGCATGTCTTCGGTTGCTGGAGTCGATGGTCGGGATAACTGCAGCACCTCGTGCCCTCTGACTGGTGCGCAGGTGCGCGAGCTCCAGAAGAAATGCGAGCTCCAGAACGTGCTGCACGAGGAGCTGGTGCTGGAGATGGCCGCTCTCCGGCGACAGCAGATGCAGCAGCAGCGGACGCGCTCGGCCAGGGAGTCCTGGAGGGCCGGTCGCTCCCTGTCTGCAGAGGTGAGATCGGGTCATTCCGGTTGCTCGGGTAAATGAAGGAGGAGACAGGGCACCCACCGAGCGTCACACCTCGTGTGCTCTCTCGCTAATTACTAGCCTATATTATCTATTCCGTAGCTATAGTTGTAACGCGAAAAGCCTCCACCTGTTGCTGTCTTTAGTGACTAACGTAAAAAGACTCTGCTTAGAATACGCAAATGCAACTAGAATTGGCACAATCAACATGGCGTCACCAATTTTCCGAGACAGATGCAATCAAAAATAAAAGCGATGGAGGTTGACCAGAACAAATATACGGTTTATTACCCTTCACTATGATGAGGAAGAATACGGAGTAGATAGATAAGAGAATGGAGTGAAACAAATGCAAGAAATCGCAGCTGTTCACAGCGCAAAATACCACTCGTAGGGGCTAGTATATCACTGCCATTCGGTCGCCCGTGGGAACAGGAGATCAATAAGGGACTTTCGCACTGAATCTTTCATGTGGTTTTCTGACAGAATTTCGAAATGGCTGAGGGGACGCTTACGGTGACAACGAATATCGTAAAGGAGATAAATGCTGTTTCAAAATGGAGCCCTAAACATTCTGTATTTATAGAAAAGAGAGTGACATGAGTGAAGTTCAGCAAGGTTAACCGGTATGAAATAATCTGAAAAGCACTGCAGTTAGTCATAGGCTTGTAGATTAGTTACTGCACAATAAAAAAGAGGGAAAAGAAGATGCATACATTGAGTGGATAGGAAAAACATAAGGTGACAAGATTAACACTAATCACTCAACGTGAAGCACGTGCTGGTGAGCGTGAGGACAGCATGGGTTCGTTGAGCACGATGACGACGATGATAATTACATTAATATTTGTAGTGTTGATTTTCGCTGCTACGAAAATCTATAGTTGTCCTCTTCAAGTTACATTGAGATTGCCATGGTGTCGGAATAGCAGGAATAACAAGACATCAGCTCGTGCAGCGCTCGTAGCAAGAATTAAAGCCGGTCTCCAAGTTCTTCAAGACCATAGGTACAACGATTCCTGCAAGTAACTTGAGGGCTCTCTCTGTCTCAGGTGGTGCCTTCGGACCTGGGCGACCGCACGAGCCTGCAGATTTCCGACCACCTTCTGCTGGAAGCCGAGCGATCGTCCAGCTCGAGTCCGAGGGGCGGAAGCAGTGGTGGCGCGCGGTCGGCCTCTCCGCTGATGGACGCCATCACCACCGTGACCACCACCTCGTCGTCGTCGTCTCGCCCGTTCCTGGAGTTGGCCCGATCGGCCGGCACCAACGCCCTATCGCAGCTGGCCGCGGCGGCCGCAGCACCGGGAGGAGTGACCGGTACTCCTTCCTTAACCTGCTCCTCAGGTGCAGCATAAACATCTACTGACATATATTTTACTACTCCGTAAACGTACCGTTCCGCTTGTCATCTCACGTCTGTCCTCCAAGTGAATTGTTTGAGATTGCAGCACAGTAACGTGCAAGTATTCCTAACTCTAGTAAAAAATAAACAAACAAAATAAGGCCTTGCTTTTACGACTCGCTATTGTGCCGTCGCCTCCGAGATTGCCCCGCCGCGGTGGTCTAGTGGCTAAGGTACTCGGCTGGTGACCCGCAGGTCGCGGGTTCAAATCCCGGCTGCGGCGGCTGCATTTCCGATGGAGGCGGAAATGTCGTAGGCCCGTGTGCTCGTATTTGGGTGCACGTTAAAGAACCCCAGGTGGTCGAAATTTCCGGAGCCCTCCACTACGGCGTCTCTCATAATCATATGGTGGTTTCGGGACGTTAAACCCCACAAATCAATCAATCAAGCCTCCGAGATTTGCGACGTAGACATGCTGACCTTCAACCCCAAAACTTCAGATGTCACTTGTCTGCAAGTGGAAGGAGGAAGAAGTAAGGAGGGCGAGATTGGCTCGTTTGAATTGCAGTTTGCTTGATTGTCGCGCAGGCTATAGACTCCCACAATAGAAATATTTTTGCCTTTGGACTGTGCTAAATATCATTGAATTGAAATGCGCAGGCATGCTAAGTCCCCCACTTTAGAGAAATAAACAAAGTTATTTTACCTTAGGGATTGAGGCATATCCGCTATTATGAACACGTTTTATCGATGCCTTTTTTTTTAAGCCATTAAATGAGAATAACTAACTATGCGGCGTGTGAAATTTAATAAGAGGTCCACTGACTGTTCGGAACATGCACTTTTTCTGCTGCCCCCCTCCAAAAAAATAATCAAAACAAAAACTATTTTTGCTATTCTTGCTCTCATAAAACGAGAAATTTGAAGAATTTTTTGAGTTTCTGCTCTTGCTGACAGCCACTATATGCTTATGTTTCGCTTTCTTTTGTTCATTTTGATTTTAGTTCTGACGGTTTATTTCCAACGTGACCCTCGCCGCATCACGTTTTCGGAGTGTGAGTACAAACGCTTTTGTTTCCTTTCCTTATGACATTATTTTTCTTTGTTTCTTTAGCCTCTGGTATTTGTTTGTTTGTTTATTTATTTCATTCGCGGATTTAGTATTTCTCTCAAATCTGCGTTGTACATTTATTTTCTTTTTCAAACCGGGAAGAACTTATGAAAGGTTGTGAGAACGCGACTCTACCTGGATTTCTTTTCGCTGCATTTATTTGTTTGCGGTAACACTTATGCAGTTCGCATAGCAGTTTTCGTCGTGACATTTGTTTACGCTTACGTAGACGATCCGTCTCCGTTAATGCGAATACTCTCTTGTTCCCTGTCTCCGCAGTGGCCCGCATTGTTTTCACAACGTGACTTCAGGAGTTACCCGCTATAGGGGACCGCAAACGTCTGAGCAACCCGTTCTCATGAATCGAAAAAGCATCACTCGCATTAATCCCCGAAGCAGATTCCAACTGTTCCTTGTTTTTTTTCCAGGTTATGTGGCCGGTGTCATCTTTATTCTAGCGATACAACATCAGAACAAAAACGGTTCCAATGCACTTGTCATCTAAGCTGGCTCTTGCTGTTTGTTTTAACCTGTGTTCTTCCAAGGGATATTTTATGTGCTACCTATTCTAAACAACTGGCAGCCACTCGTGCAGTGCTCTTACTGCAATAATTGAACGTTTTGGTATACGTTAATGATGTCCGCCTTTTAGGCTATCATGCCCCCTTGCTCGTTCTTATCCTCCGTGCAACTTGCTCGAGATTGTAGGCGCTCAGGGATGTACGTTCGCAGTTTCGTAAATGCAAAACAGTTTATGAAGAGGGCAAGATGTTTTCACTGTTAATCTTTCGGCCTTACACTGGAAGATCGGCCATTCGTTCACCGACGTGAACATTTCTGCATTGTCGGTGCACAAGGAGCACAACTTTGCAGTAGCGTAAATACAAGAAGATATTCACGGGGAAAGAGAACGACAGCGCAGGCTCCTTCCCTTCGTATCTTGATACTGCGCTATTGCGCATGGACTCACATACGTGGATATTCACGAACTTCGCCTGTCGCTGCACGTATAGTACTTTGCCCACATTGACTTTGCCCACAAATTTGCTCGACCTTTTGTAACCGCCGTCTTTCGAGGCTTCGAGAAAAAAAGAAGAAAGTTTGTAAAGGAAGCTAAACCGGTGCTCGCAGGCAAGCAGAGTGCGGAGCTGTCCGTGACTCGTGCGTCTCCTGCGACCACTTCGACCACGAGGGAGGTGGACCGAATCTTGGCGAGAATCCAGCAAGACAACCGGGTTCTCGCCGAACTCGAGAAATCCAGGGCGACCATCGGTAAGGTCGTCGGAAGACCGTCCTTACGCATGCTTCGAACGTATTTTACGATTTGAAAAAACTGTGCTACCTTTAATACGAAATACGAGGTCGGTGATATAACCCGCTTCCACGGTCCACTTCGTTTCATGTCTTCTTCCTAACTACCGACGTCGGACTGTTTTGCCGAGTTTAGCATGTTAATACGGTCTGTAAACGCTACCCCAAACGTGTTTAAACAGCTGGTACGACCTGCGATCATGGCATTATCTATCGTACATGTCCTTGCGTAAAAGCACATAAAATAAATGCAAAAAGAAATATGCAGAAGCTCGCTGCAAGGGGAAAGCGGGATGTGATGAGAAATTTTTGAACAACGAATGTCTATTGGAGCCAACTTTTCTGCATGGGGACTTGGGGTGAACACAGTTTTGTTGCCCCAACCTTGGCCCATTCCTTGTCCAGCAATTTGTTAGCACACGTCTGGCAAAAAGAGAGTTTACTCGTGTTTCTAGAACATCGGCTGTTTGTCTGTTCTTTCTCTCTGTCTCTCGACAGAACAAAAAATTAATGCGTTTGCGAAATGTTTGCGTCGAAAGAAGTCCCGCCTGCGGTTTAGTACCTTGGGACCTCCTCCTGCATACTTACTCACATTGCACATTTCCGACGCTAATAAAGAAACATTGATTATATTAATAACACTCATTCAGCGGCACGTCATGAAATCGTGCCGCAACATACCCTCACGTGCCGATGCTTATAACCGAAGCGAAACGATCAGCGTCAATTGGGAATGCTAACGCACTAACGGATTCGCTGTGTACTTTTCTGCGATGGCGTCAGTTCTCAGTCTCCATACCATGAGCAACTTAGGAAGGTGTCGCTCGGTGTACTGGCTGTGATGTTTTGCCAGGGAACTTTGGTTTGTATCCTAGGGAGAATGTGTGTGAACATCAATGCTCTGCTGTTTCGGCTGGCGCACGCGCAGGCTCACCGGTATCCGTGGCCAACCTGGAGCGCCTTCGGCAAAACATAGAAGCCGGAGAGGCCGCCAGCTACGGCGTGACGACCACGGGCGCGGACTCGCTTTCAGCCTCGGTCGCTGCGCTCCTTCTCCAGTCGCAGCTCAGTGAGTGACCATTGGCTCCGATTGAATGCATGCCTTCGTGTATAAATCGCCAGCCATTGCACCGCGCTTGTCTACAGCGCTTCAAAGTCTTACAATTACATTCGTTGCGTCTCAACGTGAAGGGGAAAAATGTCTAATGCAGCATTTGCCTGTTGGAAGTCCTCTTTCTTCATTAAGCGCAACGTTTTATTCGTTACTTTTCTTGCTCGCATGCAAAAAAAAATAATAGTAACGCTCTCTTGCGTATGACACTGTCGCCTTCCTCTTTCTCTGGACAGAATCATCATTTTCATCGCCAGCCATAGATCAGCTTTCCATAGAACCTCATCGGACGACAAGCCAACTCAGCTCTCAGCTCAGGCCAAGGGCCCTGCAAAGTGAGTCGTCCTCGGGAGTTTAACGGTTACTTCTCCTACTTGCAGCATTTTATTGCGATAGCAGCTATATGGACAGTCTCGGCTGCTATATATATATATATATATATATATATATATATATATATATATATATATATATATATATATATATATATATATATATATATATATATATATACACGGGGAAGGATGCGCTAGCCTCCTCTTCCCCCGCAGTGAACTGACGGGGCTTTCCGGCGGGGCTCGTCTGCGCGCGCGCTTATCTCGCCAGCCAACAAGAGCGAAGGGAGGGCGACTTATGGTTGCCGCGCTATCGCGGCAACGATCAGCGCGTGGCTTGTGCCCCCACAGCAGGGGGGAGCTTCTATGGGCTGTGCTCTCAACACGTAAAAAACGTTGTCAAAAGTCTACCTGAAGCGGCCAGTCTTCCCTGACACCAGCGTTTTGTAGAGTTACGTGAGATCGCTTAAACGCCGCCACTACGCGCGAGCCTTGTTGTGGTCGTCTACTTTGGCCGCACCGCAGTAAACTTGGTTACTTAGCAAGCGTATGTTTATTACAATAATATCGCTCCTAAAATTGTTAGCCTTGCTTCGTAAAACATTCGAATATGTTGCTATCCAATTCATTGCTTTGCCCTTTTGCGAAACTGACTTTTTCTTTCTTGTTGTGACGCCGTATTTCAGTAGAGACGACACCTTGATCTGGTGAATATTCGTTTTTTGGTTTTCAGTAATTGGGGTAGGGTGCCATTAACACAAGCAGATTTTCTTAGGCTAGTTTGACGCAAAATTATGCCTCAGTGGTAAATTCATTTTTACGGAGATGCGCTAAACAGTTATTTTTCAGTGATATAATTCTTACGGTGCTTTTAGAAGCGCTGCCGATGCAGTGCGCCGAAAATTCAGTGGCGTAGCCAGGATAGCATAACGAGCCCCTGCCCCCCCCCCTTGAAAAAAACCTCTGCATACAACACTTGTGCAGATATAAAGCGAACAGTCAGCATCACCTTCCGCATGTCATCTGTATCAAATCTAGATGTTTACAGAAATTGCTAGCGTAGGGTATTCGCTGGTTACTTGTTAATGTGTGGTACCTCGAGATAGAGGATTGTTAAAGGCAGCTTCCTCGTTCATTGTAGGGTCGACGGTGACGATGCAGGAACTGGACGGCCTAATGGCCAAGCTGGAACAGGACAACCGCATCCTGGCAGAGCTGGACAAGAAGCGCTCCTGCCTTGGTAGGTGTTCCATGGGTATACTGCTTGGTTGACCGTCAAGTGCCAAGCATTTCTTCGAAGACGATAGTCTTTCTTGGAATACTTGAACGTAGAAAATTTTGTCTGCCTGTCACATCATTGAGCCACCCGGCCACAGTATAAGCATTTGCTGAACGCCCAGCTTATAGTCAACTGGTGGCTGCGTTCATATTTGTGAACATTGTCGACCAAAAAGCGAATATTTGACATATTTGAGGCGCAACGTCGATACAATGGGTGGTGGGTTCTTTTACTAGAATGCCCCGCCGCGGTAGTCTAGTGGCTAAGGTACTCGGCTGCTGGCCCGCAGGTCGCGGGATCGAATCCCGGCTGCAGCGGCTGCATTTCCGATGGAGGCGGAAATGTTGTAGGCCCGTGTGCTCAGATTTGAGTGCACGTTAAAGAACCCCAGGTGGCCGAAATTTCCGGAGCCCTCTACTACGGCGTCTCTCATAATCATATGGTGGTTTTTGGACGTTCAACCCCACAAATAAATAAATCTTTTACTAGAACATACATAAATGCATAATTGTAAAGGCCCTATAGTATTTCTTATTTCACGCTTCAAATGCGACACCAAGCAGGAAAAGGGCGGCTGTCAGAAGACTACCGTCTTTTGAAGACTATGCCGGGAAACACGCAGATACGTCACCAATTCTTTTTTTTCTTTGTAAACGGAGAAAATACAACACGCAGATGGCTTCATAATTTTCAATGCTATGTAAATAAAAACCGAGTCGGAATTGACGCTACATTTTAGGCACAGTGATCCTTACGTTCACGGAACAAAAACGTTTTCAAATAAACTGAGTAGCAAAATTCTAGAGATGGTAAGCCATGATTTGATAGGGATGAACCGGGGTGAACCAAGGGGAAAAACGACATCGCTAAGTATAATATTTCTAGACAGATAACTTGCCAGCAACAAGTTATCTTTTCGTACGCTTTACTTTCTTCACATTGCTCGCGCGCCGCGGTGGCGTAGCGGATAAGGTGCTCGGCTGCGGGCCTGAAGGTTGCAGGTTCGAACCCAGCTGCGGCGGTCACATTTCGATGGGAGCGAAATGTGAAGGGCCGTGTACTGTGTGATGGCAGTGTGCTTTAAGGAACACCAGATGGTCAAAATTTCCGGAGCCCTCTACTAAGGCGTTTCTCAAAGTGAAGCCGTGATTTATATAGGTCAAACCGCAGTTATCATTATTTATTACTTCCTTCACCCTTTACATTTAAATTCCTACTAATAGCATCTACAATACTTTCTTCGCACCATTTTCAGTTAGTGGTTCTTAATAATGTGTGGAACAAAGACAGAAAGAGCCCTTAAATTTTTAGTTCTTTTTGTTTTCATTCCTAGGTAGGCCACACTTTTTTTTATCTGTGCACGTCTACGTGTGTGTTGTCTCCGTGTGCTTACCTATCGCGGTAAGTCGCAAAAACAAACAAAAAAAAAGACTACCGTCCTTTTTGTTTATTGTAAAGATTTGAAAAGAGCTTTCTGCTCGGCCAAAACTGCAGCGTTGCGGGAACCGTAAAGAAATGTCGAAGTCGAAGCGTCGCCATTCTTTTTTTAACAAGACAGAGGTGAAGCAATAGTAAAAATCTCTTTTCGCCGTCTTTCATTTAATCGCTCGTGACCCCGCTTTACCTATAACCGTCGTGTTTACCCGACGCACCCTGTGTAATCGCCCGCGTGTCTGTGTTTGGAAAGGCAGCAGCAACACCGCAGAACCTGAAGTTAAGCATAACCTCCGACAACACTTGCAGCTTATCCGGAAAGTAAAATGTAACAAATATTAGCGTTTTCTTTTTTCCCAGTACCGTTAGTTCGTTCTGACTAGAGCTGTTCTTTCAACACGAAAGTGTTTTATGCCGGGGTCCACCAAGAGTTCAGTGACGTATTTCCGTCACAGAAATGACGTCGAAAAAATACGCGTGATCAGAAGACAAAGGTTTCGTCAACGGGAGTCGAACCTATGACCTCTGGGTTAACAACAACAGATGCCGGCCACGCTATACACTGCGCCACAAGCATTCTTTGTGCCCCTTTTCATGCAAACCACCGATGCTTGCGAAGCCTAAAACTTTGTACAAACAGGGCAGAAAGTACAACCCTAATCTAGCAGCCCGGGCAGCGCTCCCTTTTCGTTCGTTCCCATCGCCGTTCAATATTCTTTTCCCCGTGGTGTGGGTTCTTGATGGAGCTCGAAGAATTTCGTGGGTACATGGCTGCAAGGCAAGCTCGCTGTTTTCACTGCTGTCACAAAACGCAGTTTGCTTTCATCGCTGTCTCAAAACTCTGCTTCGAAACTTCGCTTCCTGTAATCCTCTAATGAGGAACCTCGCACATGCTGTTCGAGGTATAGCGCATCCAGGACGGGACAAAGAAGAAGACACAGAACACATACACATACATGTGTCTTCTTCTCTGTCCCGTCCTGGATGCGCTATACCTCGAACAATATGAATAACCAACAAGCCCGTCGTGCAACCTTAGTCGCACATGCTCTTGTTCACAGCCTTCACTTTATCGATTTAGGAAAGCATATCATAGTGAATGTGACGCATTCCTCGATTTTTTTTGTTGATGGTCTATCTTATATCCGCAGCGGGCATTTGCGCTCTCAGCACACCGAAATGTGGCCACACGTGCGTGGGCTCCTCAGCCTCGCTTTCAGCTGTCACGCATTCTGCTTTAGGCCTCGCTCCGAAAATGCACCTGCAGCTCTTGCACCACTGCACTGCACCATGTTACGGAGACAGTAAACGCCGCCGCCTGCCCCTTGATGGATGCGTAGCCGCCCTTTGGTCTGACATGTTTGGTTTTGTTCTTTTGCTTCGTTTTTGTGATCTTCTATTTCCTTTTTCTTTTACTTTTTCCTTCAAGGAAGGGATGGGTTACTATACTCGCGCCCTTCTCTGTTTCTGGAAACGTGTTTGTCGTTCGTTCCGCTCCACACTTTGCAGAAATTGAACTGAGTCCCGTCCCACGCCTGTCGCGTACCATCTGCGTTTCCGACTCTTTTCGCCTCGGCTCTAGCTTCTCTTTTGCTTGATCCTGATTACTTCTCTGCCGCTAGCCGGAAACGTCAACACGGCACTCCATTTTGATGACTACGACGACGACGACTACGATGTGTGTGTGTGCGTGTGTGTGTGCATGTGTGTGTGTTTGTGTGTGCGTGCGTGCGCGTGTGTGCGCGTGCGTGCGTGCGTGCGTGCGTGTGTGTGTGTGTGTGTGTGTGTGTGTGTGTGTGTGTGTGTGTGTGTGTGTGTGTGTGTGTGTGTGTGTGTGTGTGTGTGTGTGTGTGTGTGTGTGTTACCGTACGTGCCGCCATGTAGCTGTTACCGAAAGCCTCCGGAAAGTCGTACAGAGTTCGCGGAGCCTCGCGCTCGAACCGAGAATCCACTTTGGCCCGCGACACGAGACTATACGGGAATTCGAGAACACAAACACGGCAGTGTTGTGCTTGAGTGTTTCTACGTCTTGCTGAGCTTCACCTGTTCTGGCGTGCCTTGCCTGAAATACGTTTAGGCAGGCCAACTAACTCGCCAACTCTCGTCAACGTGCATGTACCGTGCAGTCAGTAAACAGACAAGCAAAGAGCGTCGCGCGCATCGGCCACCCTCGCCAAGCCAAGCTCCCCCCGACTCCGCGGCTTGCGACCAGTGCGTGGTTCCTCCGAAGAACACGCAGCCAAAGCAATCCGACCAACGGGATCGCTTGAGTATCTCGTCACTAGGGTATATCATTCTCTCTAAGTAACCACTTTATATGTTACAATCTGCGAGTATTTATTTATTTATTTATTTAAAAATACCTTACAGGCTCTATTACGGAGCATAGAGTAAGGGGGGTACATAGGAAAGAAAGCTAGTGGGTGATACTTCTGCCACAATACAAAGCAACTACAAAGCAAAGCAACTACAGAGCAACTAATAACTAATAACTAATAAAAATACAAAGCAAGTAATAACATTGGAACTAATAACAGTGGTTGCACAAATGACAAAGAGGGGCTTCAAGCAACAACAAGAATTTCCCAGCCGCAAAAAAGCACAGAGAACAAAAACAGAATTCAAGGAGGTTATACAGTGCTATTGAGATAGATGTATCATTAATTGCTCGCGAAAATTTTCATGATTAGTTAAATTGACAATGACGTCGGGTAGATCATTCCAGAGTGCTATGGCACGAGGCAAAGCCGATGAATTGAATGATTTCGTTTTTCCAAAGATGCGTGTGATGCAAGCTGCACCCACAGTCATCACTGTTTCACCCAGAGAGAATTCGCTAGACGTTCCTCCCAGTGAGAACGGCTTACTTCCGTGGCGTCACACGCCTTTCGCATGCTTCAAATTGTTTGTGTTTACATAGGGGCTCGTGCTCATTTAGGTGGTTTATACGTCGAAACCTGAACGTCCTGCCAAATTTCACCAGAAATTGTAACAGTCGTATTTTAGGTAAAAACGGCGAGCCCTTGATAAGGCGCTTGTATGAGCACCGAAAAGTATTTAAGGTTCGAAAGGTAAAACGGTTTGCACGACCCTCCAACTCGACTGATTGAAAAACGCAGCAGTTTCTGCGGCCGTAGCTTGTATTTATTCTTAGGTTTTAACTGGTCATAGACAAGGAATTTCACGCGACGATCTCTCCTTCTCTGTCTTTGTTTTTTCATTACATGTATGTATATGATCAAAGGGTTCTACTGCTTTGCAAGAGGCGTAGGCAAATATTAAGGTGAATGAAGGACATTTTTTTGTTGATGAAGTCCGCTGGGAGAACCTTCGCAGAAGGTGTTCGTTTTTTATGCGATTTATAGCCATTCGAAGACAGCTTTTTTGCATTGACGCAAGTGCACTGTGTCGCCGCTGGCTGAACCACATGCATCCACATCTAACTTCAACCGTGCCGTAGTATTGTCAGTGCAGCCGGCATGGGACAGTGCCAGGCAGCTTCATGCAATTTTATTGCTGCACAAGTAACAATTGATTCTTGATTGATATGTGGGGTTTATTCTCCGAAACCCATATGATTATGAGAGACGCCGTAGTGGAGGGCTTCGTAAATTTCGACCACCTGGAGTTCTTTAACGTGCAACCAAATCTGAAGCACAAGTAACAAGATGACCAGGACTTCAATGCGTTTGATCGGCTTAGCGGTTCTCTATGTCGGGAGCCGATGGCCGTTAATTTCGTATAAGACATTGCACCATTATTACGCGCACAGATTGATTGTCTCAAATAGTCATCTATCCCCTTTCCCGTTTCTTCGACGGAACACTGTTCTATTCAAGCCGCCCAAGATGTCCAGAACCAAAATTTGTTCAAATATTTATTATCTTCCATACTCCGCGTCGATCTTGGCTTTGTCCGGAGAGAACAAAAGGTGCTGTACCACGTGGTATAGATTGAATTAATAATGGAACAACTTTATTATTACTGGCAATTTGGCTAATATGTTTTTTGATGAAATTGAAAATTTAGCCATGTTTGATTGATTGATACTAGGATTGACTTATAGAACAAAATGTAACAACAATTTCATTGGTGCGTGACTTTATTGCAAAATACACACACACACACACACACACACACGCACACACACACACACACGCGCACACACACACACACACACACACACACACACACGCACGCACGCACACAACAAAGACTTCAGGACAATATGCTAGTCTTGTTTGGTCTGGTTTACTGAATATTGATTCAGATATGGTAGATTGATTAGGTGATCACCATCAGTGCGAGTACGACCTTTACCTAGGAGAGGCCTTTGCCCTTCAGTGAACGTAGTCAGGCTGATAATTAATTATTGGTGAATAATTGGTTAATTGGCAATGAATTATATACTTCAGTTGATGTAGATCAACTGATCAGTTATAATCAGTTGATGTAGATCAACTGATTCCGACGAAGCTGAACGCTCCGGCATTGCTTCCCTCGGTGGCAGGATCGTCGTGTGGCCTGCTTCCGTCTCGGCTCTGCGGGCCGTCCACGTCGGCGGCGCTAAGCACGTCCCTGAGCAGCACCCTGAGCCTGAGTGGCGGCGGCGGCGTGACCACGTCGTCGTTGGCCCCCGTGGCGGCGTCGCGCAGCAGCTTGGCCCAGCGCAACGCCAGCTTGACGCTGCCGTCGCTGCCACCCAACGGCATCGTTCACTCGGCGGCCGTCTCCACGGCCATCCAGCAGCAGCAGCAGCAACTGCAGCAACAGCAGCTTCAGCTACAGCATCTACTGCAACAGCAGCAGAGCCAGCCGCCCGTCACACCACGGCTTCACATCGACGCGCAGACGGCACAAGGTGAGCAGGCCAGCCGAGGATGTGGGCTATAGCCGAGGGTGGTCCTGCATTAGTGAAAAAGAGCACGTGCGCCGAGTCCAAGAAAGAGAGAAAGAGAGAAATAAATAAAAGGAAGAGACAAGAAGGTTAACCTAGACGAATTGGTTTGCTACCCTGTACGAGTGTGGGGAAAAGGGTCGGAAAAAGGATAGATATAGAGAGGTATAAAATAAATTAGAAAAAAACTACATGCGCACACATTCAGGGAGTTCCAATCACAGTCGTTTGGACAGGCCGGTTGAACGCAAGAAGCGCAGGAGCGCCTTCACAGCCTTCTTCTGCGACATAAAGTCCTGTCGGCAGCGCAGGATTCTTTTTTCCAAAAGAGGCTGGTTGTCCAGTTGATCTAGTGCATTGCAGAGTGACAATCTCTGCGAGCAGTATTGTGGGCATTAACACAGAATGTGCCAAGTTGTTTCATCACTGCCAGAGAAAAATAAAAATAAAGACAGGAGGATTCACCCATAGAGTTTCCTAAAATTAACTAGAGGGGACTCTGGCGCTGGGATCGTTCAGCAACCATGTGAATGATGGGTAGTAGACACATTTGCCTAGTCTTCGTACTTGCGGGCGTGAATCGTACTTGTGGCTTCGTTTATTACTGTGTTGCGGTTTCGTTTTGAAAGAAAGATTCAACCATTTTGAACTTCGTGACCCGATTCGGAAAGGTAAGTCTAAAAGCATCACATGGTGAAGCGCAATCGCTGAACATTTGCTAATATTTGCTTCGATAGAAAACAGCTCCAAGCCACACGAACACACAGGGAGCCAAAAGCAGTCCTGAAGTACGAGTATTAGACAAATGTGTGTACTACCCATTATTCCCAAGCTCGCTGAAGCGCCGTGCGTTGCAGCTCCCATAGACACTAGCGCCATTCCTTCTATTGTATATTTGGAAACTCTATGGATTGACCAGATATTGGCATCCGGTTTGCTACTCAGCACTGGGGGAGAGGAAATTGGGGCCAGAAAGAGGGTGCAGATGGAAAAAGGGAAAAAAGTCACAGATTTGCCGTGAGGGCGACGCAATGAACGTGATAGCAACTAATCAAAAGTTTACGTGCTGAATGGCAAGCAAATCGAAATATGCCCCGCGTTTCTCACGCACGAATAACGCACGAGACAACGCACGAAACGTAATCACAGGTTCAGGTGAACGCGAATAAGCGTCTCAGTTGTTACTTTGCTGTGTCTGAAAAGCGCGCTTATTTCGCAAACGGAGACTGTGCAACGATTGCAGTGACCTTTGTGTGCCCAGTAACTACAACAAAATCGTTCCGGTTAAAGCTTGAGGACAGCCAAGACGCAAGATACTCTCAACCGCCAGTTAAGGGAGCGCGAATGTGCGTTCAGGGGCTTTACGACCTCGTACTCCACTCCGTGGAGCAAAGTACGCTTGGAAAATGATGGTGCCTACGACCACGCGCCGCTGCGCGCTCATTGCGCCATCTTGCTGTTAATGCTGAAAACACGATGGTTCCCCTCCGTGATGCCCATCACCAGCGGTAAGCGGTAGATATAAATATATTCCCGTTTGCACCTTAAAAGCCGTGCTTCGCGGTAGCTCAGTGGTTAACGCCTCGCACTCACGACGAGAAGTTCAAAGTTCGATTCCGCGCACCGGGGTCTTTTTCTGAATTTTTTTTCTCGCGTTTTTATAAATATATATACGTATACATATACGGTGAGTGACGCTGACGCCAGCGGCTAAATCCAGCCGAGAGTGTCCATATAATTTCTATCGCAATAAAACACTCGTACACTTAAGAGAAAACAAAAACACACAGGAAGGGCGTTCTAGCTACAGCCGTTCAGAAAAGCCGGTCTATCGCAAAGAAACGCAGTAGCGCTCACAGGGCCCTCTTCTGTCACGTTGTATCCTGGCGATATAATAAAACTTTGTCTTCCGACAAAGGTTGATTCTCTAATTTTCTGAGTTCCTTGCGAATGTGCCAATAACAGGGGTATTGGGAAGGAAGGATTGGTGCGAATAGTCTTCGTGGAGTATAGCAACACTTGTTAAAAAAGCATCAAAGGTGTACAGATGGCTCGGAAAGTTTTTATTCCACGTGCCGTTTTCTCCGCGAATACGATGCGCAACAACTCATCAATATACAGCCTTTCTGCAAGAAAACAGCTATTTGTATAGTCATGCCGTACTCCGAGAACTACAAAAGGGTTAAGCTAGCGCAATTTTTTCGCGTGGTGCAGCTCAATAGCTTGAGTAATGCAAGCGAAGTCAACATGTAATTAATTCCGAGAAGTTAGCACCTCTGTTGGCGTAGAAACCTATAGAACCTCAGCTATTAAAGGTTCTCGCTTCAATTGGCCTTGCAAGACCGGAGCCAGACCGCTAACATTAACAGCAAGACTGTTGACGATGTATTGGTAAAAGAGCACGCTTCAGTCTACAGTACACTTGTAGTAACTCAAGCGTGGAGTAACGTTGGCCAAAACATTATCTATTCCGCGCAGCGACCACTTTTTTGTCTGTCAGCGGTGTTTTACGGAACGAAGTTACAAAAAATTGCTTCGAGGAGATGTGTTTTCTGGGCATACACTTCTCCTCACCTTTTTGAAACTTAATTCGGTGGTATGGCAAAGATACACAGAAAAGGCTGCCACTCGTGCAGAATAGCTTATGTCTTGGCCGACTGTACAAGTGAAGCGGACAAGTACAACTCAGCATCTAGGTGCGAATAGGACACGAAATAAGAGGAAATGGATGGCCGCAACTGTGCACTAAGACTTAATTAAAGAACGGGAAAGAAGACAACGATTCGTTTCTAGTACAAAGCCACAAGGAAATTCGTGCAGATTTCTCAGAAAAAAAAGCTTCTTAGTTTCAAAAAAATTCCTCCTTGTGGCTTCGTGCGAACGGGTGGTTGTCTTCTTACCCTTTCTTAATCCTTCCGCCACCTCGCGAGTATCTGCAGAACTCATTCGCAAGATTCGATTTGATTCTCCCATATTGATAGTCGTCCCCGTTTTGGTTTTGACCAGCGCTGGCCGTGGCCTCGAGCCAGCAGCACAACCAGCAGCCGTTGGCCACGACACCGCAGCAGCAGCTCTCGGCCCATCAGCAGCAGGTCGAGGAAGACCCCCTGGGCGTGGACTCGGTCGAGTTCCTGGACCTTCCGGGCCGGGGCCGCTGCCGCGTCTACGTGGCCCGATACAGCTACGACCCGCTCAAGCAGTCGCCCAACGAGCACCCCGAGGCTGAACTGTTCCTCTCCGCCGGCGATTACATACTCATCTTCGGAGAGATGGACGAGGCGAGTAAAAGGCCCTGTGCGGGGGTGGTGAAAAACTTGATTGCCCAGGCATTTTATCATTCTACAACAAGTCTACGTTTGCTGAGTCGATATGATTCATTGACTATAGCTTTGAAATATAGTCAATGAATCATATTAACTCAAAAGTAGCCTGCTTGACCTTGTGAATGAAACGTATTGGGTTAAGAAATAGTGCCTTGTTTCGCATGCCAATGAGCCGTGTCTGCTCAAGCTATGTCTTCTAGTCGGTCTAGTTGATGAAACATTTTCACATGGACGACTGGCGTGGGCATCGCGTCACCTTCTTTTGCCCAACCCTGCACCATCGACTTAACTCAAGAGCTCACATAAATACAATCAAGTGGCCCTTCATCCCATAAACGTAAATGAAGACTGTAGCGCTGTCATCCACAAACATAAATCTGATCACTGACTGCTTTCTGTTCAATGTATTCATCGCTCCTTGTGGTTTTTTTTTTTCAAGGTATAATGCGTACCGCTACATCCTATAGTACCGCCCCTCACGAAATGTCTCTCTTGAAAGTTAATAAGTATATAAGCACAAAGAATAGAGAGGCTACAGCAAAATGCATAAATTAAAAATGAGTGCTTCGCAAACTAGCCCAACAAAAATGCATTTTACTGTTCCTTCGCTCATTCCTATGTGATTTCTCTGCGTGTATGTACATCACGAACGGTGGCCGAAGAATGGACTTGTTGGGACTTTGGTTCTATTGTTCCCATATAATGACTGCGGCTGCAGAAGTCGTTCTTCAACTCTTCTGGGTTTATGGTGCATCAATGAGTTACTTCTCCAGCGTTACTTTGTATTTTTTTTTCATCCAGGATGGATTCTTCAATGGAGAACTCCTCGATGGCCGCAAGGGACTGGTGCCTTCCAACTTTGTCGAAAAGCTCACTGGTAAGCAAGTGTTTGACGAATCGTAATTGCTGGGGTTTCGCGGGCCAAAACCACGATGCGATTATGAGGTGTACCGTATCATGTAGGGAAGCGGAAATTTCGACGACATGGGGCATTGACAGACATCGCACAGTAAACGGATTTCTAGCATTTCGCCTCCTCTGAAATGCCCCCGCAAGGAGCAGGGGGTCGACGCTCCCTGCGCGCCCTTAATTATCTCGCGGTAGGGAAGATCGTATGCCCTGGCCCGCGTCCTTGGCATGATCAGCCGAGCACCGTAGCGTACCGCTGTGGTAGCTAATCTTTAATAAAGATATTGTTGATGTGCAGGAGTGCATTTCTTTGATTACTGTATTCCTCCAACCATCATTCATTTTCTCTATGTTCCATCGACTCATAGGTAGATCTTTGTACTACGTCCTTCAACTTCATGTTATACTGATCTGATTCTCAATGTTCACAGTGAGACGCGTATACGTCTCCTCACCTGCTCTCCACCCATTGCCGAAGGTTAATAATGTTGCTTTGTAGTGCTCACCTTCTGTATCGAGAGTGGCTCAAAAGCAACGGAATACAAGTTGTCTTCAATTTATTCTATCTCGTCCCGCCACGGTGGTCTAGTGGTTAAGGTACTCTACTGCTGACCCGCAGGTCGCAGTAGAGTACCGAATTCCGGCTGCGGCGGCTGCATTTTCGACGGAGGCGAAAATGTTTGATACCGGTGTGCTTAGATTTAGGTGAACGTAAAAGAACCCCAGGTAGGCGAAACTTCCGCAGCCCTCCACTGCGGCGCCTCTCATATTCATATCGTCGTTTTAGGACTTTTAAAACCCCGGATATTAATAAAATATTTTTGCGATAGCAATTATGTGCACACTCTCGGCTGTATTTTGCTGTCGGGGTCGACGTTACTCACCGTATGTGTATATGAAAATTCAAGAAAGAAAAAAAAATCCAGAAAAAATTTCTGGCGCAAAAATTGAACTTGGGTCCTCTGAATCGCGAGTGCGAGACGTTAGCCACTGAGCCACCGAGGAGCACGTCTTTCAACGTACAAACGGCAGGCTATCTATATCTACCACATACCGCGGCTGACGGGCATCTCGAGAGGGCGGGGGGCGGGGAGGGGCTTTTGTGTTTTGAGCATTACCAGCAAGATGGCGCAATGAGCGCGCGTAACAAGATCGTCTCGACGTGGCGGCCGCGCTCTCATCTTCCGCGCGCGCTTTGCCCCCGCAAGGAGCAGGGGGTCGACGCTCCCTGCGCGCCCTTAATTATCTCGCGGTAGGGAGGATCGTATGCCCTGGCCGGCGTTCGGCTTTTACCGGAACGATTCTGGTTTAGTTACTGGGCGCACAAAGGTCACTGCGTTCGTTGCACAGTTTACGTTTGCGGAAAGAGCGCGCTTTTGAGACACAGCGAAGTAACAACTGAGATGCTTATTCACGTTTATTTGTACCTGTGAGTACGTTTCGTGCGTCATTTGTGCGTGAAAAAGGCGGGGCACGTTTAGATCTGCTGGTCATTCTGCGCGTGACCTTCCAATTTGTTGCTATCGCGTTCATCGCTTCGCCTTTGCGGCAAAGCTGTGACTTTATTATTATTATTATTATTATTATTATTATTATTATTATTATTATTATTATTATTCATCTCTCCACTATAAAATTACTCTCGCCATCAGCGAATAGCCTAGTTGGCCGACTCTGCTACTAGCTTAACGTTTACGAACAGCTTGATGAAACTATTACAATCTTCTTTCTCCTTCTTTCTTTTACTTTGCCTTCGATAGCGCAACGCAGTCGTAACAACTTATGTCGGCGAAAGCTAAGTCCGGACTGGTCATAAAAAGGTGACTTTGCAATGTAACCGTGATTGAACGTTACTAAACCAAGCTTGTCGAGCGTTGGAAGCAACTTGCAAGTGTTCTGCTAAACAGTGTCCTGATATTTTTGTAGCGTTACCCTACCAGTCGCCAAGCATATCGCCTAAAAACACGCTAAGCCGTGTCCCGCGTCGCGTCTTTGGCGATACGCTGTCCAAATTTCTCATTTTGCCGGCGACAAATGTTCAGGTCTCAAGGCGCGCGCGCGCCCGCCGGCTGACGACTCTCCAACCGACGGAGAGGGGTGCGTGGGAAAGGAGAACAGACCAACACTGCGCATGTCCGTTGCTATGGCGACGCGCGTAAGAGAAGGAAAAGGGAAAATTGAGGTTGGCGTAACTTCGAGGTAAAACGCGCGGACAAAGTAGGTTTTTGTATTTGTACCGGCAGGAACATAGCTATCGCTCTATTTCTTTTTGTATATATAGTACATTCAAACCAAGCATGCAGATTTGACCCAGTGCATCACCTCGCAATTGACTGCACCCACTTATAACAGAGGTACGACTGCCGCGTTCCCGAAAGTGATTAAGCTCATAAATACGCCATTCCCGAGGCTGCCTGCGCGGCAGCGCGAAAAATTTATTGCGTCTGTTCCCATCCAAAACGACGTCCTTCGTTCACTTCTGCAACCACGACACGAAAGTACGCAAGCGACGTGGTTTTCAACAAAGAAAGAAAGAAAGAGAGAAAGAAATAAAGAAAGAAAGAGAGAAAGAAATAAAGGAATAAAGAAAGAAATGAAAAAGAAGCAAATAAAAAAAGAAGAAAACAAAGAATTCGTGAGGCAAAAAGCAACGGGGTGAACATATTCCCTCAAGGAGGTAAGTTGTGACGGCGCTGAGCTGCGAGTCGCCTGAAGTTAAATGTTCCGAAAGCGACTTGCATTCGCAGCCCGCGCTTGTGCAGGCGTTGCATTCTGAACAAACCCCTTGGGTTTCAATGTGAGCGGAGCACTTCGTGGATCGCCGTGCATCTCACAGCGCGCTAAAGCATCTATTTCACTGTCTCGCGTTCCGTTGCCTTTGTCTTTCGGATCTTTCAAAGATTCATAGGATTTCACTAGCGATGGCGTAGCGGGTTTTGAATGTGGGTTATATATCTGGTTCGTTTACACCACCCGTCTTCTGAGCTAGCCGGGAGTGACGTCGCACACTCGCACGTGACATCAGCGCCGCACATATGTCTACGTCGGAATTAAGAGGCAGCAGGATTTGAAATCAGGGTCTCTGTAGTGTCCGATGCCGTAGCCGCTGCTCCGCAGACGTAGTAGCGCTTGGTGTCGCCAAATAAAAATACCTTCACAAATGTTTCTTGTTCAAAGTCCGTCAAAACGACTGGCTGGCTTTTCATGGGGGCTCTTTACAATGGCATGACGTCGTGTTTGAGACGACGTTATACGTCATTCACACTTAATGTGCCAATTGACGACTTTACATTTCTCCTGCCATTTTTATGTGTTCCTATTCTTTTTTTCTTTCGGAGGAAAACTCGATATGGGCCTCTGCAATATCTACAATACCCGCTCTGTAACGCTGCTGTAATTTCTTATTGAGGATATGGCACCAGTGCTGACGGCTGCGCGGCGGCATTTTACCAGCATGTGCAACCTACACAACTCTAACTACCGTAGCTACTTGCGTAATACAAGCACTCGTTCACATTCACAGTTGCTGATCGTGGCTTGTGTTGACTGAATCACCTTCAGTTCAATCACTGTGTTGTGTACAAGTTTCCTTCGTTTTCTTTTCCTATAGCTTTTGCTTTTGTCCTTTCGTTCTGCGCTGTGCAGTCACTGACTCCGCATGTTTCATGCACTTATTGAACATCTGTTGTATTTTCGTAAAAGTGCACCCACCCTTGTTGTCGTTTGTTTTTGCAGGCGAGGACTTGCTTGAGTTCCAGACGTCCATCCTGTACGGCAACCGCGACTCGGACGACAGCAGCGCTAGCGTCAGCTACGCGCCAGACTTGGACAACCTGGCGGGATCAGATGAGCAGCACAGGCTGCCTCCAGGTGCGTGTAGTTTAACCACAGCCTGCTGACCGCTTATTTAAAACCCGCCCCCCGGATACACGGACGTGGTCCACGTTATAGTGTGGACGAAGATTCAATAAAAATGGTGTTAGACAAAGACATGGAAGCAAAAGGGCATCTGGAGAACTGACGTGTCATGATGCGTAGATTAGCGACTATTTCTCTGTGACACCTTAACGGGCACATGTTGCGATATGTGAACTGATTATGCGCTGCGTGTCTGTATCAATACGATAAACAATGAACCCCCTATTGCACCCCTTCGTTTGTGATCGCCAATAATCTGGCAGTGGGCATTGTTGCTGCCGAACTCAAAAGGTAATTGCGTTGGCGTCGGTAGGTCATTGTAAATGGTACTTCCCTGTGTTTCCGACCTCAATGAGACCTTGTTTACAATAAAGGAACGGTTTATAGTCAGTGAACTACAGGTACAGGGACACAGTAGGCTTAGCGCAGTGTGTAACAAAAGCGCGCTCGTTTTTTTTTTTTTTCCTTGCACGCAGAGGACTTCCATCGAATGAATGACTACATCGATTTGGAAGATATCGAAGAAGTGGACGAAGACGCGCTTTCCGAAACCGAACGAGAAAACGACGGCACCGGTGAGTGTGCGAGCTTATATCAGTCTTAACAGGCGAGTAAACCTTTGGAAAGAGCTGCAACGCGATTTAATCGATGAAGGTGCCATGAAAATGCTTGTCAAACTCTCTCGGTCGCCCATTATTTACTCACTTATAGTCACTCAATCAATCAATCAATCAATTGATAATTCAAGCCGGTAGTAATCAATCATGTATTGCTGAGTGACTCGATAGATCAGTTGACCGATCTACCAAGAAATCAAAGAAAAAATCATTTCGGTGAGCCATAATAAATCACGCAATAACGCTTTCTACTGAACTTCTTGTGCTTTCGCTTATTTACCTCGTTGCTATGCAAATTATGGCTACAGTAACCATGCGCATATTTTAAAGAGGTGGTAGTTATCTTCTGGCTCATTCTCCACCACTCCATGAAACAGGGCAAACGTACCTATCGCGATATAACGTGAACCGATCGCGGGATGAAAGTGAGGTTGTCCCTTATACGCACGGCATGACACGGGGGTCGCGGTGCGGTGGTCCACGTCTCCTGCAGGCGGCGCAGCGGGCTTTCCGGTGCCCCCTCCGCAGCGCCTGGTGCTGGAGCGTCAGCTGAACAAGAGCGTGCTCATCGGCTGGCTTCCCCCCGACGTGGTGCTGGGCTCCCTGGAGGCTTACCACGTGTACGTGGACGGCGTGCTCAAGGCCACCGTCAGATCCGGGCACCGTACCAGGGCGCTCCTCGAAGGAGTCGACGCGGCACAGGTATACATATACCGTCCTTTCCCATGGGCATTCACTTCTCCTTCGTGTACTGCTTCAGTCATGGTTATGTGTGTTTTGAAGTGAAGCTGTGTACATCCACGAAAAAAAAAAGTCTGCCGCATTGGAGCAGTAGTTATGGAATTATAATGCAGACTAGAAGGTCGCAAGTTCGATCCTGGCAGCGGCGGTCGTATGTCGATAGAAGCAAAATGATTGAAGCCTGCATAGTATGTAATGTGAGGGGTTGTTAAAGAATGCCAGATTGTCGAAATTTCCGGAGCCCTCCAGGACTATATAGGGCATTGAAGAAGAACGGCTATTTGGGCTAGTTGGTTTGAATTCATGGTAATAAGGGCTGCAGCGCGAGCACGAAGGTGCTAGAAGAAACAGACGAAAGGCGAGTCAAAGAAAGCAAAGAGGACAACACGAACGCTGACTATTACTGCAGCCCTTATCACTATATAGGGCGTCTGCCGTAATCTTATCTTGGTTTTGGGACGTAAATCGTCAGATGTGAAATTTAAACAACAAAAATTGATTACGAACTTGTATTTTTTTTCTCTTCTTAAGCTTTACTTTTCCTCTATCTTTCATTTTAATACCCCCCCATCCCCAGTGTCGTGTTGTTGAGGTGAACTCCCCTGAGAGAGACAGTTATGATGTGGCACTTTCTTTTCATCACTTCTTTTAAAACCACTCCGGTATGCCGAGAGCATTATGTAACACGACTGAAACCGGACACATAAGTCCTCAGCTTAACAAGTGATCCCTACATCAGAGCAAGAACTCAGTAACTGCGGCATCTGGTACAGTCATACAACCATTCTCGCTCCATAGTGGTGTATATCGGAAGTTCGCGTGATGGACCGAGTCTGCGAGGAAATTGAACGAAGGCCGCGGCTTCGGCTAGAGATAGAGTTAGTTCGAAGTGCCTAGCGCTTGCGGTAAACATGCCTTCTCTGTTCGTGCTTCTTCGCTGCACGACGACTTAGGTGTGTGCAAATCAACGCGCCCCAAGAAGTTTGACTGCACATGGAAACATGATCAAATGATTCGCTGTGACTCTGCGGGTCTTGCATATTGCTACAGCGATGCGTCGACCGCGGTGGTTCGTCATTTTCGAGCGGTAAACCAGCATCGCCGACGCATCACTTCCGATGATGCGTGAATATAGGCTGGTACAAGTTTTTTGTTAATACAGTGACCACAGTGTTTATCCTCATCTGTTGTTCTTCACGCTGGACTTCCCGAGTTGTGTTGTGCACTTTCGTACTGCCATTTTTGGCGCCTATACAACAGATACTGAACTATTAAAACACCTTTTGCTATTTTTCTCTAAACGAGACGAAAAGAAAAGGTTTACGTAATAAAGCGATAGAATATGTGCGATTGACACGACGTGCTGACGGAAACGTCGTTATACTAGGCCAACGTGACTGAGGACAAACCGAAGTGTCACACAATAAAAAAAGGAAGCAGCTGTAAGTGTGGTATGAAGCGCGATGAGGCGAGAGAAGCAAACGATGTAGCTAGAAGAAGAAAAAAATGAACGTGAAAGGGATATCGACAAATGGCCACGAAAGTTGCGGTCCTCTCCGTTGTGAAACCACTCACCGTCACCACGTATGGTGCGTGCCGCTTCCACTGTAGCGCGGCCATCGGCAGAGGTGTTCCAGCCTGAATCACTTTTATTTTATTTTGTTTTGTTTGTCTCTTTGACCACTAAGAGCGTCACGGTCGATTGATATCGCAACGAGCTATGCAGCCCGCCCGCCTACTCGGGCTGTGCTGCGATGGCCACTCCCCTAATGCGAGGACGTGAAACGTTCATGGTAGCCTGCCCCCTGTGCGCATTCGATTCCATTCGCACGATTTGCGGTACGCACCTTTGAACGAGCGTTCGTTCAAAGATTTCGTTCCAATAAATTTTGTCATTTTCTTCCTCCGTATACTTGGTCCTCCAACAATATTTCATTTCGCCGAAAAAAAGAACAAAAAAAAGGAATCACTCCGAGAGCCAATACGTGCTGCTAATGATCCCCCGCGTCCTCAAAATGTCGCCTGAATCACTTTCCCGAATAATCATATCAGATGACCCCACTATCGAAGAAGATTATTGTCTCCCTAATCGATCACTGCAAGGAAAAAAAGAGTTCATCAAGAAAAACCGGAGTTGCAGGGATTTTCCGCATATTTTACGCGATTTCTCTCGTCCCCTCACGTGCGCATTACGAAACGTGACCGATTTCATTGTGGTGCGCTGTGGCTTTCCTACCACGCCAATTTAGCGCGCTTGGGGGAGAGTGGTAAGGGATCGGATAATCTTTATTGATATGTGTGGTTTAACGTTCCAAAACCACGATATCATTATGTGGGACGCCGTAGTAGAGGGCTCTGCAAATTTCGACCACCTGGGGTTCTTTAACGTGCACCCCAATCTGAGCACACTGGCCTACAACTTTCCCGCCTCCATCGAAAATTCAGCCGCCGCAGCCGGGATTCAATACCGCGACCTGCAGGTCAGCAGCCGAGTACCTTAGCCACTAGACCACCGCGGCGGGTTATGCAAGATGGAAAGGGAGATAGACTGCGGCGGCGGCACTCGGCTGCACCATGACAACAATCGCGTGCGATGCGAACGCACCCCTCTGTGTATGTCAGCTGTCGGCCAATCGCACGTGAGACGGTGTACGATGCCAAACAGCAGCTGCAGGTAGCTCCGAAGCTAGTGAGGATGAGTATCTGTAAGAAGAGCGGGGGCTTAAGAAAGTGGTAACTCCTCACTCCGCTTGGAAGCGCCCCTTGCCACTAACGATATGTAAGATCTCATGGAGGCGTTCACTGCAGTGACGGCGTTTCACAATGAGTGTTTCTTTCACTATGCAGATAGGTTGCTTCAGTACCACTTTAAGGTTCGCCAATGTGGTGTACTTAGAAGGCCGACTGCTGAATTTTTTTCAGACGCCTTAAACAGCTACTTTCAGGGAGTGACGCATTACCAGGCCAGAACGTGAAAGAAAGATATCCTGTATGTATGACCTTAGAGGTGAGCGGGTGCTCAAACATGCCGTAGGTCTGTATTTGCGCCACAGCGGTGACCGTCGGGTGTGAGCTGCGTCCCAGTAGGTGCTCTTTGACGGCTGCTATCTCCCGGTTTATCTTCTCTCCTTTCCCTCATCTATCTATTTCTGGCTCAGCGTGCGAGTGTTGTCTCATGTTTCTATATGTCATGAATTCGCAATACTTCATCGTCGTCATGTCCTACTTAGTGCGTGGGGTCTCGGACGTAAAAGTGCCTCCGATGATGCTATGAACTTCGCACATCTTTCTACGCCGGTTCCCCCGAGAGCATTGCTCGCTTGCTGGCAAGGATCACTCGGTGTTTTCTCTCAGTGATTTTAGCTCTGCCTTTCATGGTGAACATTAAGGTATTACGGGGCACTCTTTTTTTTATTATCTTTGGCCCATTGGAGTCACGACGAAAACCGCCTCCGGTGATGAAACGGGAGAACGAAAAAAAGTGGTGACATGTATATGAGCTTGAAACAAAAAAGGATGCGTTTTTAAAATAATATCTATATACGTGCAACAAATTATGGCTATTACTTTCACGGTTACTCTTCACCTCAGTTATTTTGTTTGCTTATTTGTTTGTTTGTTCGTTTGTTTGTTTAATGTTGAGGAAAATGGTAACGTTTCATTTCCTAAGTGCCAAATAAACCCTGCGATGAAGCACTGTGCCAATCCATCTATTGTAAGTTATTTCGTCACTTGCGAGTCGCTCCTTCGCGAGTATTTTCTCCGTTTTTTCTTGCCGATGAAATGATACGGAGTGTTTTATTAAAACGTAAGCCTTACATGGTTCATCAGACATGACTCTTCAGAGGGAAAACCGTGCGACGATATTGCCGCTTTCGTCGCAATGTGGCTGCTATGGCCCAATCACTCTCTGCTCGATATTTCATTCGTGCGACTGCAGTCCTAAATCTCTCAACCAATCAGAGGTTCAGGAACAGCACGTTCAGCTTATTTTACGGGGCAACAGCAATGCGAGTACATCCTGAGTGACAGTGGATTGAGGTGCACACTTAGGTGTGAACATCGGTCGCCTTGCATGATCTGCCGATGCGTTTTGCTGGAGTTCTCGGTCTCTCAGTATATTACACTACGACAACATGCTCTCTTTTGAGGCCATCTATCATATATATATATATATATATATATATATATATATATATATATATATATATATATATATATATATATATATATATTATGATGTCTTGGTTTGGAAGACCTTTATTAGGGCCCGAGGAACCGGCAGCCGACAGCTGAGATGAACGAACCAAAATGATGATGCTACGTGACAACGATGAGGATGCATGAGCAACACATGATAATGATGATAATGTACAGATGAAGAGGATTGGTATACTAAATGCCCACACTTATTCCCCCCACGTGAACGCGGCCAGCCTGGCCGCGGGAAGTCAAGGGGACAAAGAACGTCGCATGAAGGGCTTCATACGGGAGACATGGACGACCTCAGTAGTTCGATAACGGCGATCTGCTGGGGCTACAAGCGGCGTCACGCGATAATTCACTGGTGAAGTTTCTTCAAGAACTGTGTACGGCCCGATAAACCGTGGCTGGAATTTGTCGCACAAACCAGGTGTGCGAATAGGCGTCAAAAGAAGCACTTCGTCTCCAGGTTGAAAGGATACAGCACGATGCGATTCATCATAAACCAGCTTTCTGTCTTGCTGTAGGGCTTCAGTGTTTATACGAGCACGTTGGCGGCTCTCTGCGAGCCGTAAAACGTATTCATCTGATGAGAATGGAGATGAATCCGCATGGCAGGTAAAGAAAGAGACGTCCAGGAAAGAAGTAGGGAAGCGTCCATAAACTAGGTAAAATGGTGAGTAGCCGGTTGTCCGCTGAATAGCCGTATTGTAGGCGAAAGTGACGAATGGTAGAACTACATCCCAGTTCTTGTGGTC